GTTCTGAGTGCTTTTTCTCTGTGAACTCGCTTGTCCCTACAGCAGCCTGGTGAGGTGGGGAAACTGAGGCACAGAGAGGGGACATGACATGCCCAAGGCCAGACAGCTGGAAAGGGCGGGGCTGGGATTTGCTCCTGGCGGTTCTCTCAGCCACCAGGGTGGGGCGTGGAGGTCTTGTACCTTCCTGTGTCCCAGGTGCTGTGGTCTGGGGGGCTCCGAGGTGTCCTGACGTCAGCTTTTCACCCCTCTTTGTCTAGTGGGCCACACAGAAGGTGGCCTTGGCCGTGGTCTGGACCCCCTGGGGGCATCTGCCCTGCATTGACTCCCAGGGAGCCCTCCATGACTGCTGGTCTGGCAGTGGGGCATGGAGAGGGGGTCCTGAGTCCCCATGAGACTTTGAGTGTGTCCCTGTCTGTCACCTTCTCATCTGGTGACAGGGACACGAGCCCACCCAGACCCCTCCTGGGCAGGGCACAACTAGGGGAGGGGTGGGTGCTGCCCGACTTGGACCCGTGAGTACCACACACAGAGCTTCTGCCCCATCCTATGGTGAGGCCCGTCCTCAAGGGTCTCAGATTTTGACGCTGGGAATTGGTTGATGATCTTAAAAAAGTCACATCACCTTTTTCGAGTCTGGAATCCTGTTTTCTTCCATCCAGGAAGCCTGTCGTCTGTTCATTTAAAAAACACTCCCATCTGATGGTGGGAGCCCCATGCAGGATCCAATGGGTCCAGGGGAGCCCCTGGAGGGTCTTCCTGCAGGTGCAGGTGAGGTTTCGTGGTCCATCCCATCACAGACCTTTTCTGTGAGAGATGTTTAAGGGTTTACTCAGGCAGGCAGAAGGGCGCGCCTGGTGGAGAGACGGGCCTGTGCAAAGGCCCGGAGGTGGAAAAGCGTCGGGAGAAGGGAGCACTGTTTGGTTTGTGCTCGTGGGGCTGGGTCCTGTTGGGCCTGGGGAGCCGTGGGTGGTGTCTGAGCAGGAGAGGAGCGAGGGCCGACCCTGGGCACTGGCAAGAGGCTCTGGGAGCAGAGATGCCAGACCAGGGAGGAGCCAGCCAGGGTTCAGCACAGACAGGGGCCATGGAGGGGGGCCTTGAAGAGCTGGAGAGAAGAGCCAGAGCCAGGGAGGGGGCAGGACCCAGGGTCTGGGTGGGCGTAGACCTGACTTCAGAGCTTTGGGGTGGTCACAGCTGCCCACAGGGACGGGATGGGCCGGTCAGGTCCCTGGATGCACGGGGAGGCCGGAGGGTGCCTGGGCTGTGCCGCACAGGGGTCTCCCGGCAGATGGGTGGCTGGGCGAGGTCTTGGTGTGTGAGGGCCTGAAGTTGGGGGGGGGGTGGCTGTCTCCTGTCCCAAGGGCTCAGAGCAGGAGTTCAGAGATGTCAGATCCCGTGCCTGGGACGGTCTGCATTGGGCTGGAAGTCAGGACGGGGAGCCCAGGCCAGGCCTTGTGGTTGCGGGTGAGGCAGAGCCAGGGCAGGCTGGGCGGGACTCCCTGCATGGACGGAAGCAGGACGGGGGACAGGGCCGGGCCTAGTGAGCAGAGGGCGTGGGGGCGGGGGCAGCAATGCGGGGGCTTCAGGCTGTGTGAGGGGTGGGGCCTTCTAGTAACACTGGTCAGGGAGCCAGCAGGTGAAGCCCCGGTTGGTTTGTGTTCAAATCCTTCTGACAGAGCAGGGTCCCCGGGCTGGGCCAGCTGGACCTCACAATGCCCTACGGGGTGGGCAGGACCCAGCTCTGGCCCCAGCCCGGCCCGGCCCGTGGAGAGGGGGCCAGCGTTTCTGTTGTCCACGTGTGTGTTTATTCTGATTAGCTTTATGGAGACATAATTCACCCACCACACAATCCACCCCTTTAAAGTGCACAAGTCAGTGGTTTTCAGTGCATTCACAGAGTTGTGCAGCCAGCACCACAGTCTAGTTCCGGAACATTCCATCTCCCCAAATAAACCCCGTTTCATCAACAGTCACCCCTCATACCCTCCTCCAGCCCCTGACAACCATGAACCCGCTTTCTGTCTGTGGATGCGCCTGTTCTGGACATTTCACATCAATGGAATCACACACCGTATGTCCTTCTGTGTCTGGTTCTCTCACTGATCGTCGTGTGTTCAGGGTCCATCCACGGTGTGTCAGGGCCTCACTCCTCTTCATGGCTGCGTCATATTCCAGTGTGTGGGTGGACACGCTGTGTGGATCTGTTCATCCTTGGTGGACACTTGGGGGTCTTATATATGAATTTGTACAGTCGCCCCGAGGTGCTTGGGGCTCATCCCTTGTCCTCAGTCGGATGTGTGCGCCCTAGTCCTGGTTTAGATCAATGTGAGCTGAGGCCTCGTGTTTCTTTAAAAAGAAGAAAGGCGAAGTGGTCGGAGGACAGGTGCTTGGTATGGCAGGAAGCGGGGGCAGCCTTGGGTGGGGCCTCCTCTGAAGATGGAAAGACCCTAATTGACTCGCTGGTCCAGTGAGCATTCATTGAGTACCTGCTGTGTACTGGGTGCTGAGGACGTGGCGGGGACAAAAAGAGACAGTTACTGTCCTCGTGGGGAATAAGAAATACAATAAGTGAAATGATCCGGGTGTCACGTGGTGCTGAGGGCTGGAGGGTGTTTGGGGTGAAACTTAATTAGGGAGGTCAGAGGAGGCCTAGATGAGGAGGTGACATCGGAAGAAAGACCTGAGGGAGCTAGCGAGGCTGTGGAGACCTGGGAGAGAGCACACCAGGCGGGGGGCACAGCCAGTGCAAAGGCCCTGGGGTGGAACGTTTGGGGACTGGGGCCAGAGCAGGGTGAGGGGTGGGAGGGACCCTGGGTCTGGGGGGCCTGTCTCCGCAGCTGGATCTGCCTCAGGACCCTGCTTGCCTGGGGCTGGAGGAAGCCTCTGCCCATGGTGCCACGATCCGTGCCCCACTGCCCCTCGTGTCCTGGGCCCCCCGGGCAGGGTCCAGCTCCTCCCCTCCCCAGCCCCGGTTAATAGGCAACACATTTGCTCCTGTGGGTCCGTGGCCTCCTCTGACCTCCGTCTCCACCGAGGAGGGGATGCCTCTCTGCCCTGAACCTTCTAGAAAGCCCAGGCCTCGGGGACTGTTAATCGCACTGTGACAGTACTGGTGGCAGGGGGTGGGGGGGGCACCTGTGCCCAGCGTTGAGGGCTGGAGGAGGAGAATTCCTTCCCGGTGAGGGGAGGAGACCTAGGAGGGCTTCCTGGAAGAGGCAGCTGGGCCGGCGCTGAGCTGGGAGGGGGAGGAGGGAGGGGAAGGCTGGAGACTGAGAGGGAGGTTTACTGGGGTGACCCGCTGCGGGAGGGCTGGAGCGGGGAAGGTGCTGGATCCGGGAGACGGAGCCCCCCAGGGAGCCGGGAACCAGCGGGTGGAACGGGGACCCGCCCCGACTCCATCCCCGCCCAACGGGCTCCCTGCTACCCCCCCCACCCGCGTGACTCCCACCCCAAGGGCCAGAGTCAGCTGTTTCCTTTCAATTAGCGCAGGAATGTTCGGCGCTGGGCTCCGCGCCTGCCTGGGCTGGGACCCCCTCATCCCGGCTGGAGCTGCCCGGGGCGGGAGCTCTGGAGGGACAAGCGCGGACCCCACCCCTCCGCCCCCGTCCTGCCCGCTGGGTGACCTTGGGCTGGTTGCGTAACCTCTCTGGGCTTTTAAGAAATAAACGCCCCACCAGGCCGAGGCCCCTGCGGGGCTCGCGGCGTTGGGCCCCATTAGCTCATCTCCTGCAGCCCCGATTATCTCGCGCTCGCGCAGCCGAGTCCCGAGCCGCCCACCTCGCGGCTCGAGCCCGGCATCCGCTCCGAGCGCCGTAAAAAGAATCGCGCGGAGGGTGGGCGTCCGGGCCGAGGGCGTGTCCCTGCGGGGCGGCCAGCTGTGGCCCATCGCCCAGCGAGCCAGGGGAGGCTCAGAGACGCGGGTGACTGGCCTGGGGTCACACAGCCAGCGGGGGCGGCTCTGACCCCTCCGCAGGCCTTGGAGCAGAAACTCTGCTTCTCGGCCCAGCGTGTAAGATCTTTTGTGATCTGGCCCCTGGTTTCCTGACTGAGCGTGAGTGAGCGTGTCAATCACCCCGTGGACCCTCCCTCCCCCTCCCCCGCCAGACCTCGGGGAGACCCCGCGCTCCGGGGCCGTCCGCCTGGGTCCGGGTCCCAGCGTCACCGTTGAGCAGCTTCCATTCATTGATAAAACGGGCGCAGTCACCCCACGTGCCTCGCAGGACCATCCCGAGGAGGGACGCTCAGCCGACGCCGCGGTTCGCAGACCCCGCTCCTCCCCAGCCTCAATTTCCCCTCCTGTAGCGCGGCCCGTGGAAGGCGGTGAGCGCGGGGGCAGCTGTTCTTATTTCATGGCCGTTTCATGAGGGTTCTGTGGGCCTACTTTGTTTTGTTTTTCGGATTTATGACGTTGAGCGTTATCTCGGCTCGATCTTGGCTCCCTCGCGCCAGGGGCGGGTCCAGACCCTTCCCGAGAGGAGCCCGTCCCCGTCCCCGGGTGGGCGCCCCTGAGACCAGCAGCGGGGGCGGGGTAGACGCCCTGACCCCTCGGCGTCCCCATCTCCAGGCAGCCCCTGAGGCCCGGGATGGGAAGCCCCCCAGCCCCCCAGCCCCCCAGCTCCGGGCTGGGGGCGGGAGATGCTCGGCGCCGGCCCCACCCCCGCGTGCCGGCCGCGTTGCCATGGGGACGGCGCGGTTGCCTGGGCGACCGCCTCCCGCGGGCCCCGCCATCCATCACCCGAGGCGGTGGCGCCCGGGGCGGGGCGGCTCGGGCCCCCAGGCCTGGGGAGGGGCGCGCGCCCTGCGCCCCTCGGGCTGTGACAGGGACGCGGATGGGGAGGGACGGAAATTCTCTTCCTGGGCCCCGCGCCTCTCCTCGCTGTGCCCGCCTGACCTTCCCCTGCCCTGGCTGGTCCCGGCGGGGACAGGCCGCCCTAGCGAGGACACTGCCCGCCTTGTCTCCAGCCTGGCGGGCTGACCACACAGGGTCCCTGTGTCCGGCCTGCATGGCCACCTGCCCGCAGGAGTGGGGACCTGGCAGCCGGCGGCCGGCTGTTTCCTCTGCACCGGTGGCCCTGGTGCCCTGGGGTCTCTGCTGTGTGTGTCCCCTCCTCCAGCTCTGCTTCCTTCCTGCGCGGGTCCGTGCAGGCCGCATTAGAGCTGGGAACAGGGAAGGCGTGGGATGAGGCCCACGCTGGGCAGTTGCCAGCTCTGCCACTTCCTAGCTGTGTGACTTTGGGCAAGTGACTTGCCCCCTCTGGGCCTCCGTTTCTAGCCATAGGAAGAGCTTACCAGGCAGAGGGAACGGCCGGTGCAAAGGCCACAAGGTAGGAATGAGCTTGGTGCAGCTGAGGCGCAGCCAGAGGGTCCTGGTGGCTGGAACAGAGAGAGCGAGAGGAAGTGCAGAGAAGTGGATGGGGGCTGGGCTACGCCGGCCTCGTGGTTTCTTTAAAGGGGTGATGGGAAACACAGAGACTTGAGAGCAGGAGAGTGACAGGGTCTGATTCTCGTTTTGAGAAGCTGCCTCTGGTTGTGGGGTGGAGAGAGGGCTGTCAGGGGCCAGGGAGGTGGTGGGCTGATGGTAGAAGCCTGGGCTGGGGTCAGGGGGAATGTGGGGTTTGCAGGAAGTGAGGGGATGGGCCTACGTGGGGAGCATACGGGGTGGCACTGTGCCTGCATCACGAAGGGCAATCGGGCAGACCCAGAACTCTAGCTGATCTGGCCATTCAGTGTATCCCAGCCAGATAGCTGGATCAAGCCTTTCCTGAACTCTGCCCACCTGAGCCCAGCCTCCCGGAGGAAGGAGAGAGGGGAGCCGCAGAGGGTGTGGCTGATGCTGCTGAGCCCCTGGGAGCCACAGCGGGGGCAGATGCTGCCAGCAGGAAGGGAAGAGCAGGGCGGGGTTGCCTGACCGGGGCGTGGGAGCCACATGACTTCACAGGTCTCAGGGAGGCCAGGAAACTTAACCTGAGCGGGGTGGGTGGATGGGGCCCGGCAGCCCGGGGTTGGTCTGACCGCGAGCAGCCTCCTGGGTGGTGGCAGGGCTCTGGCTCTGGCTCTGGCTCGGGGTGGACCCAGCGCTGTGTGACCTTGGGCCTCTGTTTCCCTTCTGAGCCACAGGGGGAGGGAGCACGTAACAGGAGGGTTTAGAGACGGGCGTCCCCTCCAGCTGTTTGCGGGGACGGGAAACTGAGGCCCAGAGGGGCGGAGGATCTTCGGAGGCCACCAGGTGGCTCCTGATCCCAGGCCAGGGATGTGGGGTGGCCGTGGACCCAGCAGACGGTCTGTAATTTCAGTCCCTGTGAAGATAAGGGGCTCGGGGTGGCTGGGGGGCAGCTGGGGGGGTCTGGCTCCCTGGCTCAGAGCCCCCCCGCCCTGCCTCCAGCCTGTCCGTCCCTCCCCAAGTGGCCGTAGGGGGCGTTGGGGTTTGGGGCAGAGAATGGGGAGGCACCCCCACCCTGCGTTGTCACAACAGCCGTGGAGGCAGGAGGTTGTCACCAGGCCCACCGCAGGCGTGGTCCAGGGCTTTGCTGGTCTGAGCATCTAACTGACGCCTACTGTGTACAGCTTCAAGGGACCCAGTGAGAGACGGGAGGGAGGGGTCTGGTGTGGGGGCTCCTACCCCGCCTGCCAGGTAGGGAGGGGGCACGGGGCGGCAGGACATGCCCTCCGGGTCCTGAGCCTCCTGCCGCCTCCGCGGAAGGCCCGACCCTGACAGCATGAAGCCCTGTCCCTTTGAGTGTTTCTGGCAACACTGACATTTATCCAGCTCCTACTGCATACCAGTGTGAGGCTAAGACCGCACTGGATGGGCTCTCAGAAAGCAGTGACTGGATGAGAAAGGGAGTCGGGTTGAATCCCAGCTTTGCTACTTTGCTCTGTGTCCTTGGGAGGCCCACAGCCCTCTCTGGGCCTTTGGGCTCCTGGGAGACTCTGGGGGAGGTTGGTGTGAGTAGCACGAGAAGGCCCAGGACAGCGTCGTCAACTTTGCAGGCCCGAGGGTTGGGAGGTGGGGCTGGCGGGTCCTTCGTCCTCTGTGTATCCTTCCCGGTCTGGAGAAGAGGTGCTTGGGGGGCAGAGGGCGGGGGGCTGTCCTAATCAGGCTCCCAGGCGGTCAAGGGGGTGATACGGCTCTTCCTGAAAACTCCTCTTCAGCCTTTGCTTTCCGGCGAACTCCTATGCATCCTTCACGGCCCAGCCTCAGTGCCCTCTCCTCCCCAAACCTCCTTTCCTGGGTCTCTAGACAGCCTCACCCCTCCCGTCCCTTGGCCCTGCCCTGAGGGGTGGCAGGAGGGTCTGTTGGGAGAATTAATGAGATAGTAAGGCTGGATGGAGAGGGCGGTGTGGCCTTGGGGGCAGGGAAGGGCCCCACTTTACAGAAGGGAAACCCAGGACACAAAATCGCCTTGCCGAGGTCACCTAGCGGGAAGCCGCAGGGCGGGGATTTGAACCCTGGTGGGGTAGACCCCAGCTTGACCTTGTCTGTCCCCCCAGGGTCCTGGTGGCAGAGACCACGTCCCAGCAGGAACGACTCCAGGCCATCGCAGTGAGTTCCTCCCCGCCCCTCGGACGGCGTGGCCAGTTGGGGGAGGATGGGGGCATGGGGTCTTGGGTCCCCCCACCCGGCCCAGGGCCCCTGGGACTCAGAACCAGGGGGTGGCGAGGGGCGAATGCTTTCTGGGAAATTGAGTGTCTGGTGGCTCTTCCCCACAGCTGAGAATGAGAGACCCCTGTGTCCTTAGAGTGTGGGCTCTCGGACCCTCTGCAGGGGGAAACTGAGGCCGGCACGCACTAGAACCCCACCCTCACTGTGCTAACGGGCTCTGTGGGTGGAGCCCCCACCCCGGGAGCCCCCTGGTCGTGTGTCCCCTTCAAACCAAGGCCGGGGGAGGGGACGGGGGCCCGGCCTGGTGGGTCTGGTGGGGTTTGAGCCCCCCGTGTGGTCCTGACCCGTCCGTCCGTCCGTCAGGAGAAGCGGAAGAGGCAGGCGGAGATGGAGAACAAGCGGCGGCAGCTGGAGGATGCCCGGAGGCAGCTGCAGCACCTGAAGGTTCCAGCCGGACACGGGGGCGCCCCCGATCTGACCCCGGCCCCGAGCCCGACCTCAGTCCCAGCCTCAACCCCGACCCTGATCATGAGCCAACCCCGACCTGACCCCAGCCTCAACCCCGACCCCGACCTGACCCCAGCCTCACCCCTGACCCCGACCTGACCCCAGCCTCAACCCCGACCTGACCCCAGCCTCAACCCCGACCCCAACCTGACCCTGACCTGACCCTGACCTGACCCTGAGCCCGAGCCCAACCTCAATCCCAGCCTCAACCCCGACCTGACCCCAGCCTCACCCCCGACCCCGACCTGACCCCAGCCTCACCCCTGACCCCGACCTGACCCCAGCCTCACCCCTGACCCCGACCTGACCCCAGCCTCACCCCTGACCCCGACCTGACTCCAGCCTCACCCCTGACCCCGACCTGACCCCGACCTGACCCTGACCTGACCCTGAGCCCGAGCCCAACCTCAATCCCAGCCTCAACCCTGAGCTCGTCCCTGACCCTGATCATGACCCAACCCCCACCCTGACCCCAGCCTCAACCCTGACCCCGACCTGACCCCGACCCCGATGCTGCTCTGACCCTGGTCCCTCCACCCCTAGTCCAAGGCGCTGCGGGAGCGCTGGCTGCTGGAGGGGACGCCGTCCTCGGCGTCGGAGGGGGACGAGGCCCTGCGGAGGCAGATGCAGGAGGATGAGCAGAGAGCACGGCTCCTGGAGGAGTCCGTCTCCAGGTGGGGCCCGCGTGGTCTGGGGGGCGCCCGAGGGGGTCCTAGAGCCCTGCCCCCCTGTCCCTCCTCGTGCTTCTATGGGGCTGATGGGACCGAACGAGCTTTAACGGGGGGCGCCGGCGGGTGTGAACGATAACTGGGCGAGAGGTGACACGGGCAGCGGGGACAGAGGGCCCCGTGACCTTTCCTCCCCGACACCCCGGCCGAGCAGGTGCGTGAGGGATGTGAGCCGGGTGGCTCCCGAGTCTCTGCGGATGGGAGTTGCCGGTAGCGGCCCCCCCGGGGCCTCCTGGCGGCCGCCCAGCTGGCCAGCTCCTCCCGCCGGACGCCCGGTGCTGATGGAGGACGGACGGACGATGGAGGCCGTGGAGGCCGGCAGCTGGGCCCGCAGGAAGCGGGGGAGGGGCAGGCAGGGAGAGTGACCGTCCCCCGGGGCTGGGACAAAAGGCCGGGAGTTTCCGGGCGGGCGGGAGGCCCAGCTCTGCTCAGCGGCAGGGTCCGGGCGGAGGGAAGTGACGGCCTGAATTCCAGATGTGCACTTGGCCGCAGAGAGGCCCGGAGGCGTGAGGCCGGCCTGGGTCCCGGAGCGCACGGCCCCCGCCCCCCGTGGGGACCTCGGGACCTCGTCCTGGTGTGTTTGGCTTGGAAGGGGGCATTTTTCTCTCCGGGCCTGTGAACCGGGAGGCTGGAATCTCCTTGTGCATCTTGATTCCAACAGACATTACGCACCGACTGTGTGCCTGCAGGAGCTGGGGGCTCAGATGGAGGCAGGTCTGCGGGGAGACGGTCGGGACTGACCACGCAGGGGGCACAGGCGGGTGGGAATTACCAGCCATCAAGGCTGAATGAGGGGGGCTTCTCTTCATCCTCCTGCCGGGGGCAGCTCTGGGGAGGGGTGCCCGGATGGGGGGCCTCGTTTGATCCCTACTGTGTGTCCTGCCCACGTCGAGTGCTCTTGGGGGTCCTGGCGTTCTTCCGGGGCCCCCCACCCTTCGGTGGCCCCAGTGCCCACATTTTGCTGGCTCGCTGCCCCCCCCCGGCACCTCCTCGGGGAAGCCCCCCAGGCCACCCTCGGCTACATCCAGCCTGCCAACATGAGCTTGCTTTGTTGGGGGGCCGCAGACTCACCCCCGTCTGTCCTAACCCTTCAAGGGGAGTGTCCCCTGCGGTGCAGCGTGCCCCGGACGCCCGCAGCCCCGAGCCTCAGGCGGGCACCGGCCGGGGTGGGATTTCGTCCGCTGGTGACGTTTTCCCTGGGGTTGTGTGGACCATCGTCTCCTAAAACTTGGAAAGTGACGCAGTTTTTCCAGTTTCCCTGGAGAGAGAACGCTTCCCGTAAAAACAAACCTATTTGAGTGTAAGAGCAGAGGGTGGGTGGAGGCGGCCAGGCGGGACACAGTGGCCGGCGGTAAAGGGACCCCCATGCCCTCCCCAGGCTGGAGAAGGAGATCGAGGCACTAGAGAACGCAGACGCGCTCCCGACGGCCGCCCGGGAGAACGCGGCGGCCCCCAGCCCGGCCCGCGCCCCGGCCCCCAGCCCGGCCCCAGAGGAGGGGAAGGCGGAGGTGATGGTGAATTCCCAGCAGGTAAGGAGGGGCCGGGTCCCCGCAGCCCCAGAGCCGGGCCCCACCCCTCAGCGTCCCCATGGCCGCAGATCCCAGCCCAGACGTTAGAGCCGGCACTTGCATCCGAATCCCAGCCCGCCGCCTCCCAGCCCAGTGATCCACCACGTGGCTCGGCTCTCCAGGCCTCAGTTTCCCCACCTGTGTGAGCAGCTGCGTGCTGGGGACGTCCACGGGGGTTAAATGGATCCGTGGACGACGGGCACCTGACACGAGACCTGACACGTGGGGAGCTTCCCACGACCCCACCCTCTTGTTATGGTGGTTTCTTGAGCTCGTTTCCAGCCTCACCCGGCTGAACCTCATGGCCGCCCTTGAGGGTGGGAACGGTGTCTCCGTTTGATGGAAGACAAAAACTGAGGCCCAGAGAGGTTGAGCTGCTGGCTCCAGGCCACACAGCTGAGGAGTAGTCTTCACTGGACTCGGCCGTGACTCGAGGGTCTGGTGTCTACCCCAGGCCCTGATGACCAGGAACCCTGGCCCCCAAGCTCATGGTCGCCACAATGTGTTAACGCAGATTCAGGAGGCTCCCAGCCACGTTTGTTGTGTCCAGGGCTCAAGGGGCCTGTGGGACACGCCTCTCATCCCCCTGCCCATCCTTGTGCCCCCCCATGACCTGCAGTGGGGAGACGGCCCCCACCTGGGGGCAGGGCCCTCGGAAGGCCAGCGTCCTGCTGTGTGTCCGGGTCCCCCCGACGGCTCCTCTGGTACCATCTGCAGGACCCCAGCAGACCTGCCCTCACTGCTCGCTCAGGCCTGGTTGGGGCAGACAGGAGGCTGTGGACCAGAGCCCGGGCCTCACAGAGCTCCCGTGGGGGGGTACATGGACGTGTGCACACAGAGGGGGTGGTGGGGATGCCCAGGGCACTGTGCAGTCCTCAAGGAGGCATCTGACTTATGGGACGGCTGGGCAGGCTGGGAGGTGGGTTTTGAAGGTTGAGTAGGAGTTCTCCAGGTGCACACGGGAGATGAGAGGGGCCCTTCAGTGAGGTTGACTGAGCACAGACCGTGTGCTGGTGTGGTCCCTGCCTTCACGATGCCCACATCCTGGGGGACACAGGGACACTGGCTGGGTAAATGATATAGTAGCTTGAGGGACAGCGACATGTTGAGGGGGGACCACCTTGGATTGGGAGTCAAGTCGCTGAGCGAGGAGCCAGCCAAGTGGAAATCCGGGAAAAGCCTTCCGGGTGGAGGGGACATAGCACACAAAGGCCCTGGGACAGGAACGAGTTGGAGGAACAGCGAGGAGGCTGGCCAGACGGGGAGGAAGGAGAGGCCGGGGGGGCAGGGGTCTGCTGACAGCCCTGGACGTCAGCAAGAAGGGCTAGACTTGCTCTGGGAGCACTGGGCGCCACAGGAGGCCCTGAGCAGGGCGGGGGCAAGTCTGGCTGTCACAGGCTAGGACGGGGCGGGGGGACCCACCGGGAGGAGATGGCACCTGCGATGGGGTCACCGCTGCCCCGGGCCCTCCCCAGGCTCCAGCGCCCTCGGGTGGGCACGGTCAGTGGGAGGGGACGCTGGCCCCCCTGACCCCTCTGTTCTCTCTTGCAGACCCCGGTGGGCACGCCCAAAGGTAGGCTTCTGGGAGGGACGGGCGGGGCCTTGGCGCCCTCTGGTGGCCAGAGCGGGGATGGCGGGCGTGGGGAGTTGCCTGAAGGGTAACATTGTTGCTAATAAGGAAGAAAGTAGCAACAATGACTCCTCCTTGTTACTTTCTCTTTGTTACTTTCTCCTTGAGCCTGCCCAGTGTCCTCGCGTGTCACTTGATTTTCACAACATCCCTGGGGGGGCTTCTGCAGCCCCGCCCCCCGTTACAGCTGGGGAAACTGAGGCTTGGGATGGCACCTGGCTGAGGTCTTGCCCGAGTGCCCAGGCTCGGGGTCCGTCCCTGTCCTCTGGGGGCTGCCAGGCCTCGGCCGCCTCTGCCCCACGCCCAGCTGCTCGGAGCTCCTGGGCCTCCGGGTTTTCATGTCTGTGAAGTGGGGTCTGGGGGGGGCGGGAAATCAGGGTCCCGGCCGCTCTGGGGATTGGGCGCCAGCCATTAAAAGGACGAGGGTCCCAGGCGCACAGGTGTGGGAGACTGCCGGCCCGGAAAACAGGAAAAAAAACAAGTCTGGGGGCCGGCCCGGTGGCGCAGCGGTTAAGTGCGCGTGCTCTGCTTAGTGGCCCAGGGTTCGCAGGTTCGGATCCCCAGCATGGACGATGCACCGCTAGTCAAGCCACGCTGTGGCCACGTCCCATATAAAGTGGAGGAAGATGGGCACGGATGTTAGCCCAGGGCCAGTCTTCGTCACAGAAAAAAAAAAAAGAAAGAAAGAAAAAAAACAAGTCTGAACTCTGGGACCCGTTTTATGCCCCTCCCCCAAAAAGTATTAGAGGTCGATAATATACACGTTTGCAAATATTTCTCACCTATATATGACATTTAAATATATACATTTAGCTGTAAATGTACGGGTTTATGAAATCTATTATTAAGTATATTAAATTTAGTATAAATTAGGGGCCAGCCCTGTGGCGTACCAGTTAAGTGCACACGCTCCGCTACCGGCTGCCTGGGTTCCGATCCCCGGCGCGCACCGACGCACCGCTTGTCAGGCCATGCTGTGGCGGCGTCCCATATAAAGTGGAGGAAGATGGGCACAGATGTTAGCTCAGAGCCGGTCTTCCTCAGCAAAAAGAGGAGGGTTGGCATGGATGTTAGCTCAGGGCTGATCCTCCTCACAAAATAAATAAATAAATAAATACAAAATTTAATATAAATTATGTTTTTAAAATGCAGATTAAACTTGTCTATTTCTGCAACGGAAGCCTGGCAGCAGAGCGGCCAGCCTGGCTGGGATGCAGAAGTGTCTGTGGCCTGATTTGCGTGTGTTAATTATTTATAGGGAGAGTGTCTCCTTGTCTTACCGTGGAATTAAAAATTAATAATTAAATAAAATCCTCGCAGGCCTCTCAGGGATTTTGTGAAAAGCATTGGGGCCAAGAGACGGGAAATGGATTGTGGGGCCAACTGTGTTTTCTCTTTGGGGGAGGGGTGTCCTTGTGTGTTCGAGGGGTCCGGGCATCTGCGGGGTGTCTGGGGGTCTGTGTGATCTCTCCTCTGACCCTGTCTCTCTCTCCACCCTCCGCCGGCCGCGCAGAGAAGCGCATCTCCCACACGCCCGTGAGGACGCTCGAAGGCTCCACCATGATGAAGGCAGGTGGGTCGGTCCCCAGGCTCGGGCCATGTCCAGCCACTGTCCTGGGCCTGGGGGGACAGGGCGAGGTCACATGCCCTGTGCCCTCAGCAGGGGCCGTGGTCATGGGGTGGCGGCTGGACCGAAGTCGTGCTGTGGGCCTGGGGTGGGGCCCGGGCACCCCTCTGCTTTGGCTCCTCGTCCCACGCTGGCCCAGCTTCCCTGAGAAGACGGGTCCCCCGCATGGCGGCTCTAACCCGACACCCCCCGTGGCTTCCACCGCCTTAGCCTCGCTGCCCGCTCCCGGCCCCATGCGGGCGGCGCACACGCTCGCTGCATATCCTGCTCCCCTCCTCAGCTGCCTCGGGTGAGGGAGTGAGTGCCCCGTCCCTGGAGGTCACCAAGCCGGGTCTCGGGCATTTCTGTGCTTCTAGGAAGCAGGGAGACGGGGTTAGTGCTAGGTGTTCTCTGAGGTCAGGGGTCAAATCCCTGCTGACAACTGGGCCTCGAGCCTCCGCCCGCCGGAAGGGCGAGATTGGAGTGACCTCATGGCACAAAGCCGAGACTGAGTGATGACAAGTCCTAACAAAGAGCAGGCCTTATCGCTGCTGCCGCTGTTGCTGGAGAGAGGGAAGAAGGCCCAAAACCGAGGGGGGAGGCGAGGGCCGTCTCAGGCGGGGTGGCCAAACGGGGAGGCCCAGGGTCTCTGGCATGTCCAGGGGGCGTTTCCCAGAGGCGAGGTGCTTCAGGGCCTCTGTGCCGGTTACACCAGCCCCAGCAGCACCGAGGCCACATCCCCCACTTGTCCCCTCAGCCGGTGACCTCGTGCAGTGCACGACCTGCCCAGCTGTGCAGGGTCAGCCCTGGAGGGAGATGTCTGGAGGTGGGGGTGTCAGGCTGGGTAGGGACGTGGGATTAAATAACACTCGTTCATTCATTCAAGTGCTTGTTGAGCCGGGCATGAGGGCCGCAGCCTGGGGGAGCCGACGTCCTGACGGGGCGACAGCCTGTGCAGTTAACTTATGGAGAAAATGAGGCAGAGAATGCGGAGCTGGAGGGGGGGACAGTTTTAATGAGATGGCTCAGGGGAGGCCTGAGTTAGGAGGTGATGTTTGAGCAAAGACCCAAAGGAAGTGAGGGAGCAGGGAGTGCAGACACCTAGGGGAGGGTGTTCAGGCGGAGGGCACAGCGCGTGCAAAGGCCCTGAGGCTGGACTGTGCCTGGCTGGTTGGAGGAGCAGTGGGGAGGCTGTGATGGTCAGAGCAAAGTGAGGGGCAGAGTGAGGAGGGGACGGAAGGGACAGGGCGGCCGCGCAGGGCCCCGCGGGGCGAGGGGAGATGGGCTGCCCCCCCGAGGGACGTGGGAGCCACGCCAGGTGGTGGGCAGTGCAGGGACGGCGACTCGGTGCCGATGGCACCCTCTGGCGGCCGCGGGGAGAACAGACCGAGGGCGGCGCCGGAGACCCTGGTGAGGAGGGGAGGGCGC